AAATAAAAATTGAAGACCTACTAATGTCAACAATATCAGGCTATGAAGATTCAAATTTCAAATATCAAATTATCCCACTCCAACGGATATATTTGATTGCCTATAAAAAGCCATGAAGACTTGAAGACAGATGCAGAGGTGTACAAGATAGACACGAGATAGAAGTGCAATACACATGAAAATTTAAAAGTGCAAGTGCTCAAATATTCTTAGAGACTTAGTCTGAAGAGTCTCAAAAATCTAGTTGGAGAGAGATACGATTACCTTTGTATTTGTAATTGTAAAAAGAGTATAGTTGGGTGCAAAATACTCTAGTGAGTGTAGCTGTGTGCAAAACACTCGTAGTTTCTAAGTGTAGCTGTGTGCAAGACACTTAGTTGGCGTTGAGTATAGCTGTGTGCGAAATACTCGGAGTTAAGTGTAGCTGTGTGCGAGACACTTGGAGTTGGGTGTAGCTGTGTGCAAAACATCCGAAAGAACTGCTTGTTTAGCACTTATTCACTATTGTAACTGTGTGTGGAAAATAGTGAATTTCTCCTAGACGTGAAAGGAGAAAAGTGGACTAGGAAGATTACGCCACTTCCGAACCACTATAAATTGCCTCTCTCATTTACATACCGCACTTACATAATTTGCTCTATCTATCTATCTTATCCGACTAACCCGTTTACTATTCACAGTCAATCTTAATCATTCGGGTTTAGTGTGTTTTCACGTATGCATGTGACTCAAACTTCTCGAGCTTAAATAGTGATTTATTCTAAGAAAGTTTGACACGTTGCATGTAACATTCGTCACACGTTCGACGTGACACGATATTTATTTACAATCTTGAATAATGTTATTATATATTGAGTGCACCATCTCCTTTATATATTCAAGATATCTCTGTCATTTACATATCATCTGTACCCATCTTACATGCGTATTTAATTCATTAATAGGGCATAACTCTTTACATACTACCTATTCCGCTGTGCAGTTTAAACTTACTCTATTTACTTGATATTTAGAGTTGAAGTTACCAAAGAGTTATTTAGTTCGAAAAAGCTTGAAAGTCTATTCAACCCCCCCCCCCCCCCCCCCCCCCCTCTAGACTTTCACCACCCTATCGGGACCAACACATCCTAATTAATTAATTAATAAATAAATATAGCTAATTCTAAAATAATTTCAACAATTCACGTGACCATAACAATAACTCATTGCCTTTATCCATATACCTCTTCATCTTTATCATAGACACTAGCTTAATTCCGGGTTCTTCCGTCTTTCCCCGATAAGATATCCTTTTCCCACTGGGTCCTCGAAGCAACACCTTCTGATCCTTGCACAGAATTTGAGCTCTAAACCGCCCCAACCAATCCATACCTAAGACCACATTCATCCCGTCCAAGTCGTAATGGATTAGATCGCTGGGGAAATCTTCTCCCTTGATGTTGATCTTGATGCCTTCAAAGAGACGGTCACACATCCTAACTTCCCCTGATGCTACCTTCACGTTAAACTTCACCCCAGTGCCCCCTGATAGACCCAACTTCTTCACGAGTCCGGGTGACACGAACGAGTTAGATGCTCCCGAATCGAACAAGATCGTTGCCGGAACAGATTGCACGAGGAAAGTTCCAATTACCACATCACTGTCACTTGTTCGAACTTCACCAAGGATAAGCATTCTCTCTTGGGGTGGTCCTTCCGTCGGATGATGAACCTCTATCATTCCATTCTCTCTTACGCCCCGGAATGTCGGCAAGGTAGCTGCACTAGGACATATCCTGGTGGACGTGCCACTTCTGATCCACCGCTCAACCACTCCAGAAGCATTACTAGATTCGGCCAACCGAGATTTCTTAACCACTTCACCAACATCTTCAAACGTTGCGGCACGCTGACGAGGAAGCATCGCAAACTTCTGCAACAACAACACGATTACGAAAAGATAGCAAACAAGCAAAGAACAGAAAGCAACACACAGCTCACCGCGCAACCTAGAGTCCTAAGCCTAACACTTAGCTCCTTAAGGTCGCTTAGAGGTCTCAAAACACAGTTAACCACTTAGAAAGGCCTCAAAATCTTCCTAGGCTCAAAATCTAGGCTCTGATACCAACTGTAACACCCCGCAAACAAGCCCTATATAAAAAGGCCTTAACACATGCAGATCATACAGCAAAACACTAGCACAGCGGAAGATAAAACGATAACTAGATAAAACAAATCCAAACGGGGTGTTATGCCACGCCTACCCACAAAGGCAAACGCTACGACAGTCAAATCTGCAATGTGTATACATCTATCCCAAAATCAATAGTCTAAAACTACATCGGCACACAGGCCACAAAACAAGGATACAGGTACTAAACTACCAGCCACTAGACATCGCGCTCGTCTAGACATCACCTGAGAGAACACAGAGATAAACATTGGACGACGCCCGGTCAGCGATAATGCTGGTAACCCACCAATACCTATTAAGTATCATACATAGGTAGGATATATATAAAAAAATCATTTCGAAACGGAATACATATATATAAGTGAAAAGCCCAGAGTAAACACCAACACAAGACTCAACACTCTCAATGTGACACCCCAAAAATCCACATTTCAATCCATGGATTAATTGAGTAATTAATCCTATTTCATTTGAGGAATTAATTCCTAAAATCCTTATTTTTAATACTCAAGGACTAGTATTTGACTAGTCAACCTTTAAGTTGTGTTGTACCTTGTGCTTTGATGGGAGTTCCATTGTTCCTTACACTTTCTAAGGGTTAGTAAGGGTATTCTTGTCCTTTTACCAAGAGTTAGTATTGTAACCTAACCTAGAAGACTTCTTCATTTCATTCCTTACAATTCTTTGAAATTAGCTCTACCTTATCTCTAGAAAAGAAGTGTAGCTTATTCTCCAAGCCAAGTTAAGACCCTTGTCAAGATTTCAAGTTTTGCTTCCAAGATTCAACCTTTCACCTATTTGGGCATCTAGGAGGGTAAGATCTAAGTTTATCTTGTCTTTATGGTTCCATCTTAGTTGTTTTTTTCTTAAAGGTAGGATCTTTATGATCTTTTGGTTTAATCTTGAAGTGGGTTTGGAAAGTAAGCCTTGTAGGGAGCTTGTTGTGATGTAGAGTGAAGTCTTTTAGTGTACAAGAGGTAACCCATGCTCTACAAAACCTATTTTGCTTACCTATATGCGATTTCTTGGATTCTACTTGTGTTTTGCTATGAAATGTGGGGGTTTATGCATTTATCTTGTGATATTGCATATCTAGAGCTTGTGTTTAGGGTTCCTTTGTGCCATTGCTTGGCATTTTCCACGGTTCAAGTCATTTTGTTGTATTCGGTGAGATTTGGCATGTTTTGGACTTAAATTTGTGTTTGGAGAAGAAAATCCCCGAAGGGATTTGTTGTGGAACAGGAATGTTCCCACGGGCGGAACGGCGGGCGGGGCGCTACCCGCCGGCCTACCTGCGGGTACATAGCCCTGTGGGAATGTGTTCCCACGGGCGGAACCACGGGTGGGGCACTACCCGTGTGTCCACCCGCGGGTACACAATGGTGTTTGTTCGGGATTTGTTCCCCGTGATCCGTTTGACTCGGTATTTTGTCTTTTGACTTCCCGTTGTTCTTTTGTGGAACTATTTGAGCGTCTTCTTGATGTTTCGTATGTCTAGAACTATATGGTAGGTATCCATGTAGGACTTTGGTGTCTTGAATCATGCTAAGTGTTCAACATTGTGTTTCGTTTGACCGAGAGGTATCTTGTGTGCTCCTTGGAACTATCTTGAGTTTCTCCGTTATTAAGCATGCTAGTTTATTGTCTTAATGCTTGCGTGTGTGTTGTTTGTACCTTCTGTTTGGTTGATGATAACTTGTGTTATTCATCATTGTTGTCGTTGGATTGTGACCCGTTTCTTGATTGAGTATGTTTCATACCTTCGTTGTAATCCGTTAATTGACTCGTGTGAGTGGTGGTGCGTGTGTGGCTTTACCTGGACTGCACGATTAGTGGTATGGGACGCTAGTCACCAAGGTATTACAGCGGTCCTCGTGGTGGCCGTGACGTGATTGTGGAGATGTGTCCTTCGAGTAAGGTTCACGTGATTGGGGGATAACATGTGTTATCCGGGCATGTATTTCGCCGTGTACGGTACCTTGTGTACTATGAATTGGTGGTCTTGTTGGTGGATTGTTGGTGGGGGACGATGGTCCCAGGAGGGAAAAGGTTGGACTAAGAAGTACAGGGGTCCTGGAGGTAATGGTTGGCATGAAGGTACAAGGTTGGGGGTAGCCATAAGGTTGGAACAGGGCATAAGGAAGGCATATCAACTCGTGATGGGTGATGTCACGAGGGCTTGTGTAGCCGTTGTTGTGAGTTCTCTTTCTTGTGACGTGTGTAGTCACAAGGGCATGTGTTGCCATGGGTGAGTCTTATTCCTTTGTGTCGTGGTTAACCTTTGTGGTTTGGGATGTGTTCCCGTGTTATCTTTGAGAGTGATGAGTCTTGTGTTGACTGTTGATCTTGGCTTTTGACTTCTATACTTATGTATTCCGTTTCGAAAATGGTTTTATGACTTATATCTATCTATATATGATACTTAACGGTATTGGTGGGTTACCAGCATTATTGCTGATCGGGCGTCGTCCCAATGTTTATCTTTGTATCTTTCAGGTGATGTTTAGACGAGCGCGATGTCTAGTGCCTGGTAGCTTAGCACCTTTATCCTTGTTTTTGTGGCCTGTGCGCCAATGTAGTTAGACTGATGTTTTGGGATTGATGTATACACTTGCAGATTACAGATGGTATCTCTACCCCATTCAATGTTGTTGATAGAACAGCAACACCTAAATAGTCTATATTTTCATAGGCATTATATGATCCTGTTTTAATCAATCCTTGTACTGTAGAGGTTGGTAACATTTTATTTATTTTTTTCCTTTGTTATCCTGCAATAGAATTGCAAGACATTGCTAAAACATGCAATTGAAATTGTGAGTGCAGTTATTGCTGATCCAGGAGGAGGTGTCTTCATATCAGATCCAAAGAAGCCAGCACCGTTATCTCATATAAATAATGATGTGGATATCTGTTCCTTCAATTGCTGCTTTTGTGCAAACAGTTAATTTGAAGTAAATGCAATATACTAATGAAAATCTTTTATTTATCTTACAGGTGACTTAGTTACAAATGTTTTCAAGGTAAAGTTGAACCCGTCTCTTGCAGATGCTTATGGAGTTGAGTACTATTTCCTAATGCTGATAGATATCTTATGAATTTCATGCTCAGGGACCCAACAAACAAATACTTTGTCAACTGTCAATGCTTGAAAGAAAAATGGCTCAAGGTGATTTTTCTTTATATGCTTGCTACTGTATTGTGTGCAATCCAATCCATTTGATTCTTACTTCAGTGCCATCATTGCTGTTATCATCTCAAAAAGGTAATCTTTTGAAGCATTTCAGTGGAATTATAGTTATTAACACTCAAAACTAGCAAGCAGTTATAATCACGCCAACTTAATTATACTAGTGTTGGAATGGTATAGCTTTATTTGTGTTGTGTTAGTGGAGAAAGTATTATACATGTGAATTTGGCTCAATAATACCAAACTCATATAAAGACTTCACCTCTTTAGAGTACTTGTAAGATCTATTCTCTCCGACTTCACAAAATAATGTTACTTGCAGAGGAAATTAAAGACATCGATATTTTTTCTTATATGTATATATATATTCACGGATAAATATGAATCATGTGCATCACAGGTACCTTGGAAGCAATAACTTGAGCGGGGAGCTATCCGCAAACATCATAACTAACACGCTTTTCTTGTATGTCCTGTCTGGATTTATCCAAGAATTTACATTTGTATATATATATATATATATATATATATATATATATATATATATATATATATATATATATATATATTTGAGCTTTTCTTCTGTTGTGTGGTTGAAACCGAGGATTTTAACAAGAAAACAGTGCTAAAGTTGTACCTTGTTGCCTTTTTCTATTGATCGGTCCTTGCCTCAGAGATATCTCGTTCAATCAAATCTCTGGAACTATACCTGCCAATAAGTCATATATTTCACTGTGAGCCTACTCCTACGACCCTCAACTTTCAAGATTTTTATGTATCGAGATGCCTCCATATATTTTTTTCTTTTTTCAGAAATGCTGTTGGCACTTTGATCACTAGCGAAAAAAGGTCACGTTCGCGCAGGTTAGTGACAACAATTCATAGCTTAATTGGGTATTTGGTTTATTCTGTTTTAGTGCGCTTTTGTTGATGGAATATGCAATCTGAGCAGATCATTAAATGTTTAAACATGGATAATAGATTATATTTTCTTACCTTTCTATGCAAAACTTTGATGATAGTGCTTGCTTGACGAAAAATTCGGTGTGCACTAAGAAAGCTTCATCAAGTAAGTATACACTAAAATTTTGCAACAAGAAAGAGACGATCGAACTAGTGGATGATTGCTTAACGGAACCATTTTGTCCATTTCAGCTTCACTTTCGATCAAATGTGGTGGAAATCAAATAGTAACTGTGGATGGGTTTCAGTTTGATGATGATTCGAAGATGCTAGGCCCAGCGTCGTTCTACATGAGCTCGAACAAGCAGTGGGCAGTGAGCAGTTCTGGAATATTCATTAACAACCAGAATGGACAGAACTATACATCTCATTCGTTTTCTCAGATCCCGAACACTTAGACTCTGAACTCTACAAAACAGTCCGGGTATCCCCGAGCTCATTGAGGTATTATGGTGTTGGGTTAAAGAAAGGCATATACCGAGTCGAGCTTCATTTTGCTGAGATACAAATGGACGATATTAAGGACTCTTAGAAAGGCCTTGGGAGGCGCTATTTCGACGTTTCCATTCAGGTATGGCAAACTATTAAGGACACTTGGAAAGGTCTATTTCTCCCCCCTTTTACTCTCGTTTTGAATAGTTCTTTTGGGGAAACTAAAATCTAATATTTTCTTTTGTAGCTTTTAATTATTTTTAATTTAGAATTGTAAATATGTAATTGTACATGGTGTAAAATAAATATAGTTTTAAATTTTTTTTTTATTTTTTTTTTATTTTTTTAATCAACAATACGCGACCATTCCTGTCCAAGAACGGTCGCGTAAAACTTTTGTATAAAAAAAATAAAATACGCGACTATTCTTGGTCAAGAATGGTCGCGTATTACTGACAATGCGCGACCATTTCACAATGGTCGCGTAAAGTCAATACCTTTACGTGAGCCTCTTATAGGCAACCATTGTACAATGGTCGCCTATTGTCTTTTACAATGGTTGCCTATCTGCAATTCTGTACTAGTGCAAGACACCAAAGTCCTACATGGATACCTACCATATAGTTCTAGACATACGAAACATCAAGGAGACACTCAAATAGTTCCACAAACGAACATTGGGAAGTCAAAAGACCAAATACCGAGCCAAAAGAATCACGGGGAACAAATCCCGATCCAACGCCAAAGTGTTCCCCGCGGGTAGGCCCCTACCCGTGGTTCCGCCCGCGGGTACACTACCCACAAGACAATGTACCTGCGGGTGGGCGGCAGGTAGGGCTCTCCCCGTCGTTCCGCCCGCGGGTACATACTCCTGTGCAAAATAATCCCTTCGGGGATTTTTATCTCCAAACTCAAATTCAAGTCCAAAACATGTCAAATCTCACCCAATACAACAAAATGACTTTGAATCATGGAAAATGTCAAGCAATGGCACAAAAGAACCCTAAACACAAGCTCTAGATATGCATTTTCACAAGACAAATGCATAAGCACTCATATTTCATAGCAAAACACAAGTAGAATCCAAGAAATCACATATAGGTAAGCAAAATAGGTTTTAGTAGAGCATGGGTTACCTCTTGTAGACTAAAAGACTTCACTTTACACCTCAACAAGCTCCCCACAAGGCTTACTTTCCAAACCCACTTCAAGATCAAACCAAAAGATCATAAAGATCCTACTTTTAAGAAAAAGACATCTAAGATGGAACCAAAAACACAAGATGGACTTAGATCTTACCCTCCTAGATGCCCAAATAGGTGAAAGGTTGAATCTTGGAAGCAAATCTTGGAATCTTGACAAGGTCTCAACTTAGCTTGGAGGAAAAGCTACTCACCTTTCTAGAGAGAAGGTAGAGCTAATATTTTAGAAAGTGTAAGGGATGAAATGAAGATGTCTTCTAGGTTAGGTTACAATACTAACACTTGGTGAAAAGTCAAGACTACCCTTACTAACCTTTAGAATGTGTAAGGAACAAGGGAACTCCCCTCAAAGCTCAAGGTACAACATAACTTTGAAGTTGACTAGTCAAATACTAGTCCTGGAGTATTAAAAATCAGGATTTTAATAATTAATTCCTCAAATGAAATAGGATTAATTACTCAATTAATCCATGGATTGAATGTGGATTTTTGGGGTGTCACATGATTCGTGCGGGCTTGGTGATCAAAGCACTAGATCACGGAATTCATTGTATCTAGGAACCAAGAAGTGGTGGATATAGTGAATTGCTCTTGGAGAGAAGAGCAAGTGGAGTAGGAGGATTACACCACCTCCGAACCACTATAATTGTCTTGTGTTCTTTACTGCTTTCTTTACTTATTGCTCTTGCTTGCTTCTAACGAGATATACTGTTCACAATACCACACACACTTTATCCTTATTTATTTCCGCTGTGCACCATTCTCTAACAATCTAGTTAAGAGTTTTGGTTTCTCTGTGCCTTAGCGATTGTTGTGCTGTGCGAAAAAGTTTGAAAGTCTATTCACCCCCCGCCCCCTCTAGACTTTCACCTTAACTCTTTGAGGACCAACAATTGGTATCAAAGCCTGTAGCCTATTTGAGTCAGCTTATCTTTCGACAAATACCAACCTTTGGTATTAAAACACGTTGCCTAATTGGGTCAACTGTTTTTGACTGCTAGGCTGATCCATTATACAAGTGTGTGATTAGATTAATCTTTCATATCTCTCGTGATGATGATGATGAAAGATTTAGCTCAAAATCTATTATTCTCACTTGACAAATTTGATGATTGGAAAGTTCGTATGCAGGTACACTTATCGGCTTTACACGATGAAATGTGGGAAGTTATTTCCACTGGCCCTATCGAAATATTAAAAGTCAATACGGCGCTTGTCCTATCCCTGGATGCTCCACAGTACGTACAAAAGCCTAAACCGGAATGGACATCGGATGATAGAACACAGAATAATCTTCATAATATTGCCAAGGATATTCTATTCAAAGTCGTGGATGATACAATACTTTCGAAGATCCGAAAGTGTGCTACTGCTAAAGAAATATGGGAAACTCTCATCAAGATTGGCGAAGGAGATGAACAAGAGAAGGACAATAAGCTCACAATCGCCATGAAAAATTTTGAAGATTTCAAAATGCTCTCAAATTAAAGTGTTGCAGATATGGAAGGTCGAATGATCAAAGTTCTTGGAGAGATTAGTGATCTTGGCAAAAATATTAGCCAAAAAGAAATTAATCTCAAAATCCTACGACGCTTACCATCTGCATGGGATATGAAGGTTACGGCTATGCGTGATCACCGAGATCTAAGAATGTTGTCAACAGATATATTATTTAGTGATCTAAAAGCATATGAGTTCGAAATGAAGGCCAAAGATGATGATGTTCATGAAGCTCAAAATTCTGCTCTAATGGCCGAACTACCGTCAACCTCCAGGTCAGTAGAAAATAATGTTGATTTTATGACTGACGAACAATTTGCCCTTTTTGTTAAAAGATTCAAAAGATTTATGCGAAAAGGAGACAACAAAAATTCTGCTCGTGGAAAATTTGTCTCTCGCACGACACAAGAAGAAAAAGTCGAAGAAAACAACAATCTATGCTACAATTGCGGCAAACCCGGACATTTTAAAATAAAATGTCCATATCTGATCGTTAGCAAGTATCAAGGAAAGAATTTTGAATCTACACTGAACAAATCCGAAAGCAAAAGGTTCAAGCACGATAAAAGAAAAGCTCTCGTTAGCAATGAACCGAACGAAAATGATGATTCGGAGAAATCATCATCAAGCGATGAAAGCTCGTGTTCAGATGATGATACGGAGCTAATATGCAAGCTAATTGAGTTGAGTACAAGTGAAGATTGTTTTATGGCTCTTGAAGCAGAGGAAGAAGCGGTAACATCTAATTCTTTTAATTCTTCTTTTTCTCGTGAATCTATTGACATTCTAATGCGAGATTGTCAAGAGATTATGCTCATTCATCCTCAACTCAAGGAGCGCAATAATATTCTAATTCTTGAAAAAGAAGAAATGAATAAAAAATTGCAATATGCTTTACTTGAAGTGAGTAAATTGAAGAATGAAAATATTCATATTCAAGAAAAGTGTAAAGCAAGAGAGGTTAGAGAACATAACCTTCTGGCAACCATTGCTACGTTCACTAACTCGTCCAAAATAATGGATAAGATGGTGAGCATGCAAAAGCCATCAGGAGATAAAACCAGAATCGGTTATGACTCCACATGTTCTCAAATCCCTCAAAATCTGACTAATTCTACTACTACTTTAAATAATAAAGTTCAAGTGGTAAAATTTGTTAAAAGTCATAATAGCACGATGAGACAAGGACTTGGCTATCAAACAAAAGAAAAGTTGAATGTTGAAAGGCTGAAACAATTCAATTACACGACAAAGCAACAAAAATTCTTCAAGCAAGGATATGCCAAAGAGTCAAGTGCAAAAAGATTTCATAGAAAAGAGGGAAGCTTTTCTAGAAATAGAGTTGGGAGATTTCATCCCACTCAAAAGGATTGGTTGGGTAATAGATGTAATGCTTTTTATAGACCAAAGCAACAATCCTCTTCCAGGTGCCAAAATATAAAAATGTTTTCTAAAACCCGGCGCCAAAAATATTTTCAAAAGTGAGTTATGATTATCGAATCTCTAGTGGTTACAAATCGCCCAATCTTAATTCAATAAGATCTAGGTGGGTTTGGTTACCAAAAATCACTAACAGTAAAGGACCCAAGCAAGTATGGGTACCTAAAGTGAATTAATCTTTTTTGCAGGATGTTTGGTACAATGATAGTGGCTGCTCACGCTACTGAGTAGAAATAAATCATATCTAGTGAATTTCAAAGAAATCGATTGACCAAAAGTTATATTCGGAGGAAATCAAAATTATGGAATTACAAAAGGAGTTGGCACAATCACGAAAAATGGATTAAAGATTGAAGAAGTTTCATTCGTTGAAGGATTGAAATTCAATTTGTTGAGCACTAGTCAATTTTGTGATAAAGGCTATCTTGTAGAATTTTCTAAAGATAATTGCCTAATAAAAAATGAGCTCACAAATGAAGTTGTACTCTCTGGAAAAAGGCGAAAGAACATGTATGTTGTTGATTGGAGTACAAGAAAAGATTCAGTGTGCTTAATGGCCAGAAATTCGAATGAAGCTAATTGGGAATGACACAGAAAGCTCAACCACTTAAACTTCAAGACTATCAATCACCTTGCAAAGAAGAATCTAGTTGAAGGCTTGCCAAATATTATCTTTAAGAAGGACCAAGTGTGTGATGCATGCCAACGCAGAAAGCAAATCAAATCATCATTCAAATAAAAAACACACGAGTCAACGTCAAGACCGGTTGATCCAATAAGTGTAAGTGGTAAGAAATAT